CCTCCAAAGTCTTCACTATCGTTGAAAACACAATTGTTTATTGACATTCTTTATTTAGCTAGAAATTCATATCCTAATGATCATTTTATTGTCGCTGGAGATTTCAATTTACCATGTATAAATTGGTTATCAAGTGAACCTACTGTGTTAAAGAAAGGTTCTGTGGATATACAAAACACTGCAAAAAATTTAATAGCCCAGTGTTCGTTTTTAGGTCTCACTCAGTATAATTTCCAATCAAATAGGCATGGTAACATCTTGGATCTAGTTTTTTCCGATTCTACTCTTTCGATACATAAAGCTTCGTTGACCCTCGATAAGGAGGATATTTTTCATCTTTCCTTATTAATTAATACTTCTGATATTTTAATACCTTTACTGAAACCCCTCTCTCGTATTAAATTTAAATTTTTTCGTACAGACTATGACATCATTTATAAATCACTTAATGAACAAGACTGGTCCTTTATTAAAAAGGAAAATAATATTGAGTATATAATTAAAATTTTTTACCTAATTCTGAACGATCACATACAAAATCATGTACCGAAAGTAAAATATTCTGGTTTATTTATATCCCATTATTATTTATATCCCATTTGGTACAGTAGTCTTATACATGTGATAAAAGAAAAACGTAAAAAACATAGTAACTGGAAGCGATATAATAACCCAGTTGATTATGCTGACTTTGCTGATCTCAGAAAGAAACAAAAAACACTACAGGCTCATTGTTATAACTGCTTCCTTACTTTTAGTCAAGAAAAGATTAAAACAAATCCTAATTTTTTCTGGACTTACGTAAAATCTAAAAGAAAAAACAAAATTAATTTCCCACAACAAATGACGTATGGCAATACAGTCTTGAATAGCCAAGAGGATATTTGTTCTGCATTGAACAATTTTCATAAAAACTTTAGTATGCGTGCTGATAAATATTCTTTTAACACGCCTATTAGTGAATCTCATGATAATATAATTCATTCCATTGCTATAGATATAGATGAAATAATTAAGCTCTTCCATGGTATTGACGTCAAAAAAGGTGCTGGTTGTGATGGCATCCCACCAATATTCTTTGCTAAGTGTGTGGAATCGTTAGCTACTCCAGTTACCTTGATTTTTAATAGATGTCTAGAAGATGGATATTTTCCTAAAATTTGGAAAAGAACTCATATAGTCCCAATACATAAAAAGGGTTCCCTAACATTTATTGAAAATTACCGCCCCATTTCAATTCTTAACATATTAAGCAAGATGTTTGAACGGGTGGTACATTCGCGCATCTATCCTTCTCTTTCTTCGTTAATATCACCTGAACAAGATGGGTTCATCAAAGGGCTTTCTACAGTAACCAACTTAAGTATTTTACTGAATATGTTCGTTACAGTATGGATAGTGGCTTGCAGCTAGATGTGGTTTACACGGACTTAGAGAAAGCTTTCGACCGTGTGGACCACATTATACTACTGTATAAACTCTATGAACTAGGGATCCGTGGTAATCTATTCAGATAGATGGAGTAATACTTACGTAATCGTTCTCAGGCAGTCATTATTGGTGGATTATGCTCTAATTTTGTTTGAATTCCATCTGGTGTACCACAAGGCTCAATCTTAGGACCGCTGCTCTACGCTTCTTATTTATTTGATATCGGTACTTGCTTACATCATGCAAAATACTTAATGTACGCGGATGACACAAAAGTATACATGAGGATTAAAAATCATACTGATTGTATCAATCTTCTATCTGATCTCGATAGATTAAACGAATATTATGCTCAAAATCGTATAGGTATGAATATAGATAAGTGTCATTATATATCATTTACACGTAAGAAAAATGTCATACATTTTTGTTATAAAATTAACCATGTTAAAATAAATAAATCACATTCCGTTAAATATTTAAGCATTATTATGGATATAATTAATAGAATCAGGCGTTACTTTGCGGAAAAACATTATATAAAAGCTTTTAGAAAAATTTACTTCGCGTTTTTTTCTACTACGGATATTTGCGAAGTATTTTTTTTTAATTTTCCAAAAGCTTTTATTATGGATGCAAAATTACTATTTTCGGAACATATTGAGAGTATAGTAAGTAAGGCTTACAGAAATTTAGGTTTCGTTCTAAGTAAGTTCTTTTCAAATATTACGTGTTTAAAGGTTTTGTATTATTCATATGTTTGGACTATTCTCGAGTATTGCAATATAATTTGGAATCCACAATCTAAGACGTATATTCGTGCTATTGAAGACATTCAGAAAAAAATGGTTAATCACTTAAACTACAGGCATCATCGAATTTCCCAAAACTATGTCGATTCATGTAAGCATTTTCACCTATATTATATGAGATGACGTTCATGCATAGCCTTTCTAATGGTCACATTGACTGTCCAGATTTAGATAGATAGATAGATAAATAGATAACACCTTATTGTACGCCAAAATTAACAAAAATATTAACAAAAATGAGAAAAAGAAATGTGGTACAATAGGCGGTCTTATCGCTAAGAGCGATCTCTTCCAGACAACATTTGGATGGACAGCATTACAAGAAAACAATAAAAATGTGCGTGGTTTGCTGACAAATAACATTATTTTTATTAAAGCCATAAAATAAAAATATATAAGATAATATATAGATTTAGTATCCAGAATATTGTGCTTAAATTGTCCTAGAACCAGAACACGGCAAACAAAGCTTTTTTCGATTGCACATACAAAAACAAATTATGCCCAAAATTCATTAGTCTCTCGGTAACACAGAGAATATAACAAAACGGTTCACTCTGTAGACATATTCTATGGAAGTAAACCAAACATTGTGCGAGAAGTTTTGAAAATACTTAATGATTACGTATTTCATATATCACACACACACACACACACACAAACACACACGCACACGCACACGCACACGCACACGCACACGCACACGCACACGCACACGCACACGCACACGCACACGCACACGCACACGCACACGCACGCACACACACACACACAGAAACGTGTGAATACATACACACACACACACGTGCGAATACATACGATTACATCTAAATTGTTATGCGCTAAAATGTTATAAAGTGTCGGTTCGGTTAATATGACATGTTTTATAAAAAAATATGTAAATCCTTATTGGCTGTAAGATAGTGTAAAGATGTATATGAAAAATAGTTATAAGAAATTAAAGAGCTGTGGATTTTGTTAAATAAATAAATAAAATAAAAATAAAATAAAATAAGTTAATATACATTTTACCTAATGATATTACATAAATAACGCAAATAATATACATTGTACACAATGATAGTACATAAATTCAGCAAAATTCATACGCTAAAACCTTAGAGAAATAGCATTTTTTTTTTTGCGGATGGAAAATCATCAAATGACGCCTTTCGCTCTGGGTGGAGCGGAAGGGAGTGTCAGACTTTTACTGACTAAAAACCATCCGTGTTCCTTCAGTGCCCTTACGTTCCGGAGCCGCGGTATCTCTTTCGAACAGCCCGCAGCCCCGGCAGGCGTCGGCCCTTGCGGGCCCCTTCACGCTGCTGACAGCTCTTTGAGGCGCGCGTGGAACAAAACGCGCCGTCGACACGGCCTGTCGTCGTTAGACGGACGGACGGCGAGCTACCCATTGCTCGCCGTCCACAGGCCCGCGCCTACGGTGGCCGGGGGCCACGACGTAGCCCCCGACGCCCGGGGCGTCTCCCGCGGCGGCCGGGAAGGAAAGCTGCTGCTCTCTCCTTCTCCCGCTCCGACACCTCCTTCGCTAGCATCACTGCTTCGCAGAAGGTGGTGACGGCATCCCATTCCGTCTCGCTCCGGACCATGGCTTCGACCAGGGCCGGACGCGAGAGGTCGCCGCCGCCTATCGCCGCTACGAGGACACGGCGGTGCTCCGCCCAGGCAGGGCACACCTCCACGGTGTGCTCCACCGTGTCCTCCGGTCGATCCTCGCAGTGGGAGCACCCGGGCGTTTCCTCCCGCCCGATTCGGTGCAGGAACCTCCCGAACACACCGTGTCCGGTGAGGACCTGCGTCAGGCGGAAGGTGAGGACGCCGTGGCGTCTCTCAAGCCACTCCTCAAAGAGGGGTCTTATCGCCGCTATAGTGGCGTGCCCAGCACGGGGTTGCGACAGTCGCTCTCTCCATGTCGCCATGAGATCATGCCGGAAGTCTGTCCGCTGCACGACAACTTGCCGTGGCAGCGGGGTTTCCCCCCGGCATAGTGCCTCCGCGCGCCATTCGTGTAGGCGCGCGAGGACTATCGCCTCCAGATCCCATGGTGGCAATCCGGCAAGGAGGCACGCTGCCTCGCGGGAGATCGTGCGGTAGCCGCGAACCATTCTTACGGCAACCACCTTTTGGGGCGCGTTCAGGTGGTGGACGGCAAGCCGCGCCAAACCACGCGCCCACACCGGGGCCCCGTAAAGGGCCATGGACCTCACGATCCCCGCGTAGAGCCTCCGGCAGGAGGCGTTTGGCCCCCCCAGGTTCGGCAGGAGCCGCCTGAAGGCAGCCCCGGTCCGTTCCAGTTTGGGAGCCAAACGTCGGAAGTGCTCAACGAAGTTCCATCGGCCGTCGAGGACGAGTCCTAGGTACTTCAACGTCGACTCGACGCCGATGGATACCCCTCCTACCATCGCTGAGGATCCCGGTGGTGGCCTGTTCCGAGGACCATGGAAGTGCATGGCCTCGGACTTGTGCAGAGCCACCTCAAGACCCAGCTGCCGGATCCTCTCAACGACTATCGCAACCCCGCGTGTCATATTTTCCGCCGCCGCCTCGTACGACCCCCCCTGTGCCAGTACCAGTCGCCGACGGTAGGGAGATCGGCGCGCAGCACCCAGTCGTAACCGATGTTCCACAGGGGCGGCCCCAGAACCGAACCCTGTGGGACACCGCACGACATCTCTCGCCGGTTCCACTCACCGTTGCGACCGGGGTAGATGACGGCCCTATCCGTCAGATAGTCCCCGACTATACGACGGAGATAGGTCGGCACCCGGTGATACCGGAGTGCCTCCCTAATGCAGCTCCAGGGCATGGAGTTGAAGGCGTTGGCGATGTCGAGAGACAACGCCAAAACAACCCCCCCCTGGCCACTGCATCCCCCGTCGTGAGGGCTCTTACGCGCATGATGGCGTCCACCGTAGAGCGCCTCTTGCGGAAACCAAACTGGTGTTCCGCAAGATCCGGCCCCGTCCCCGCAAGGTGCTCGGCGAGGCGGTTTGCAATGACTCTTTCAAAGAGCTTGCCCACCTCATCGAGCAGCACCACGGGCCGGTATGCGGACGGAGAGTCCGCAGGGCGCCCCGGCTTCCGAATGAGGACCAGCTTCCCCGTCTTCCAACGAAGCGGGAATTGGCCTCTCTCCAAGCATGCGCTTAGGAGCCCCTCCAGTCGGGGCCCGAGAGCCTCCGGGGCCAGGACCCAGGCTTTGCCAGGCAAGCCATCGGGTCCTGGGGCGGTATTCCTGGCCTTAAGCCTAAGTACCGCCACTCTCAGGTCTACCCCGGTTCCTTCCGGGATGTCGTCGTCGTCGTCCTGGTGGTCCGCTTCCAGCACCGCAGGTGGCGGAGCCATAGGCGGGGGTGGATGTTCCCCTCGCGCAGGAAACAGAGCGCTCACCACGTCCTCCACGAGCTGAGGCCGGAGACTCTGCGTCAGCGGGGGGGCCCAGGTGCGGAGTTTATCCCGCACCATCTTGTAAGGGCGCCCCCACGGATCTCTGTCGAGAGTCTCCAGCATCTCCTCACGGGCCCGATCCCGGGCCCGCATGACAGCCTCCCGGAGGGCGGTCTTCGCCGCTCTGTATCCCTCGTACAGCTCCGCCTCAATGGCTGCCGCATTCGGTGGACGAATGCGGAGCCTGCGATGCCTGGCGTACAGGTGCCGCGCGGCGACACACGCCTCGCGCAGAGACGTCAGCTCACGCGACCACCAATACACCTGGCGCCGGGCGCTTCCTGGCCGGACGCGGGGCATTGCCACGTCACATATCTCGGACATGGCCTCCTGGAACCACCCTGCCTCATCATTGATGTCGGCAGGCCTATCCGGTGATGACACCCAGGCCTGCACGATCGAGGCTTCCAGGAGGAGTAGAGAAATAGCATGCATATTTAATATGGTAACAGGGACACTGTCACTGTGACTGTGACACCAAGGACATTGTAAAATATATAATTATTATATTATAACCTCCTTGAATGACACAGTGGTACCTAATTTAAGTGACAGTTTACTCACAACTTTGCTTTAGTTTAGCAATTTGTATGTCACCCTTATGGCACGCCATTATTTTATAAAATTCTTTTTTTTATAAAAATAAAGTAACAAGCGAACTAGAAGTGATTCGAAACGAAGCAAGTTACAACTAACGGTATGTGGCCACTACAGCCCATGAACACCTGCAACCAACTATAAATAAAGAAGGTACAGATGCGTTGTTCCCTCTGATGACTAATATGGAATGCTTTTAGCCTGTTTTTATACTGACTATCTAAGCCATTCACACCGCAACGCATTAATGTACACTGCTGTTTGGAATGAGTATGATGGTGATCCATAAACAGACGGATACAGAAAGCAACTAACTAATATCGTCCTTTTATCCAATTTTTCTTGTAAGGTAGATACAAACAATTAAGACGAAAAGTGAAAATAATAACCAGCATTCATCATCATCATTACAGCCCTTCACAAGTCCACTGCTGAACATAGGCCTGCCCCCAAAGCACGGTCCTGAGCCACCTGCATCTATCGACTTCCTACATATGTTACCAGGTCGTCACTCCATCTAGTGGGGGGACGTCCTAAACTTCGTCCGCCGGTACGAGGCCGCCACTCGAGAACCTTTTTTCCCTAAGATAATATAATATATATCTGTGTCATTCAAGGAGGTTATAATATAGAAATGGTTATTATTTTATATATAATATATATAAAATAATAACCATTTAAATAGAATTAAATATTTAATGAACAAGCTTCGTTATTCGTGGATACGTACTTACGATTATACGTATTATTTAAAAAGTGATAATATTATTCAATATTAAACGATTTCAAAACTTACATATCGAAAAAAACAAGTATGCGTCAAAGTTAATACAAAAGAAAGTAAATACAAAAGAAATTAAATTTTCTTTTTTCTTTGGTTTTAAGCATAAAATTTTATGATAAAAGTCGTCAACTTCACTGCCAACGCCTTAGAGGTGTCGCAGTATTTTATATCACTACCGTCGAGTTGCACGAATGGCAAATGGACTGTGTGATCATTCATTAAAATTGACCTGTTGTTGGAGAGAAGTATTTCAAAAGCAAAATTAATGATGCCTCAGCTGAATACCGACCATTTAAAGGCGCCAAAACTAGAAAAAATTAACAAATATTTTAAACCATGATTCATAAAATAAAAATTAATAATAATATTGAAGGTATTGTGCCTTTTGATGTATCTCATTTGTGATTAAATTTATTTTATTATTATTTACCTACTTTTTTTATTTTCCTACAATGGAACGCAAATACTATATTTCCATAGAAAAAACTACGCCTAAAACTTCTTAATTAATGTACTCTAATTGTAGTGTGACAGTATTAGATAAGACGCAAAATATGTCTATACAATATTCTACGCATTAAATTTATAATGTTAATTAATGAGGTCATGAAACTTAAAAAATAGTTTTTATACGTTTGTGAGTACTTTAATATTTTTTGAAGAACATTTACATTTAAAAGCAATATTTTTGTTATAGCTGTTAATATATACATTTGATCCTTGCTTCACAATGCTGCTTACTTTTTGTAATTTTCAAGTAGGTACCTAATTAATTAAGTCAACAAACATTTTTTCCAACCTTTTTGACATTAGTTTGTTAATTTACGGCTTTGACAACAAATAGCCTGAAAGCTGGCGACGAATTTTGGGAAGGTCCTTTGGGCAAGTTGAAATTGTGAAAAAATATAATTTCGTCAATTGGCGAATCCAGTCCCGCGAGTCTGACTGAGCGTTTGCGGTTATTTAGTTACTGCGCAGCATATAAAATTTGCAAAAAAAATATTCCAAAAAATATTCCAAAAAAATGTTTGGCAACTTGATTTCTTTTTTATCTTTTAAATTAATCCCAGACGTTTTTGTCGGTTATAAAGTATTACCAGACCTCCCCAAATATATATTTTTTTATTCCCAAAAAATATACTTTTGGCAATCTCAAATTTTAATCACGTATTTATTGAGTTATTTTTTTTTTTTTTATAGGATAGGGTGTCAAACGAGCAAACATTACACCTGATGGTAAGTGGTTACTGTGACCCATAGACATCTACATCTATCCTCAATAAAGTCTCAAGATGCAGATGCGTTGTTTCCCGTGAGGACCAAGATGGAATGCTTTTTTGCCAGTAAAAAGGGTCTCCGGTTCTCTACACTCATCATACGAAACACAGCAGCGTTAAGTAACCAGCTATGCTATTTTACGCTGGTTTTCTGTGAGAGCGTGGTCCTTCCCCGGTCGAGCCGACCCATTCGTGCTACAACTATACTACTAATATAGCTGCAGCATGGCTCTACCACGTAAATTTGCGATTTGCAAATCGCCAGACGAATTTAGCGGTTGTAAACAATTCCCAGACTTGAATAAAGTTTACCAACCAATACGACAAAAAAGTCTTTTGCGTAGCCATAATTGCGAGAAAGATAGCTTATCGAAGCATGCCGGCAGCGGATGGAGGCCTAAGCTCCTCGCGCTGTGATAGGTTATTAAGAAATTTTTTTTGAAAGATTTTAAGATTAAATTCTGGTTTTGGGATTAAGCGTGTAATATGCGTGTATGTATGCGCTTACTTTATTAACTCCGGGCTCGAATACCATCGGGAGTGGTCGTTTGTTACCACGGCTCGTGCAGAAAAATATCGGTCGCCGTAGAAATACAAAATATTTCAAAAACCAATTTGATAGGTAGGGTCAAGAGTACTCGGATACCTAGACGTGCATGTATGAAGAAGATAATGAATCTGAAAGAAGCGAAAGAGATATGTAAGGATCGTGACACTTGGCGATCTGTTCTCTCTGGCTACCCCGTCAGGGATTGTGCGTGAAGATAAGTATTAAGTAATTTGATACATAAATGACCAAGGTACGATATTATTGATAGAATCAGGCGTTACTTTACGGAAATCCATTATAATGGGTTTGTTATAAACTAATTTGCTTAATTCCGCGTAAAGAATGAAAATGATGTGTCCTGCCCAGTTTTAAGGGGACCTCCCACCCTCCCTCAATCGCGCGCACTATACACGTCGCTGTTAATCCCAGCACCAGCACACTAGGCACGACACACCACTCTCGAAAATACGACACGAGTTTCGCCTCTACACGAGGCATCCTCAGGTGAAGTAGACTCTGCGGATGCTGGCCGCTAAGTGAACGGCGAGCCGAAACTACTGCTATTTATACTACTTGCTGACGCGATCGCGCTCCAATTACGTAGCGAGCGATTACGTCATGCGATCAATCACCGCTTAACGCACGCCGATATTTGCTGTGAAATTAACAACAAACTACTGCGCAAGGTCCACCTACCCTACAAATACGCAACCAAACGCTGACCACCGCACCTTGAAGGTGACGAACGACCATGTTGCGAGGCTATATATCATCAAGGAGCAGGCTTAAACATGTTTAAGAGTGGCAAACAACTTCATGTTATTCCTAATTACATCCAAATACGTTCTGGCACAAATAGTCGAGCGGCCAATGTTGCTAATTCTAAAGCTCAAAACGTTTGGCTTAATGAGGAGTGTCGTCATTGGTTTGCCAATAGAGATAATTTAAAAATCCACCTTAAAGTATTATATTCTGAACTTTCTTATAAATTACATAATATTGAATTTGATATTTTGAACCGGAAAGCCAGAAAACTAGCTTCAATAGTTGTTTACGAGAAATATAAAATTCAGTCCCGTAAATTACAACGACTTGTATCCTCTTCATCACGTAAGCGCAATAACAACATACATACTGAATATCATCAATTTCATCCCCGAGTTAAAAATATTTCCGATGCTCAATTTCCAACGGATGAGTTGTCACTTTTACAAAAAAACCTTCGATCCCTCAAAAGTCGCTAGAGACTGTGGCCGTTGACTCGGAGATGGCCGTTGTGATCAGGAAGAAAGATAACATTGTTAAAAGTTTGGTAGCGAAAGAAATTCAGGCTGTACCCGCTTCTTACCATTGCAATTCGGAGTTCCCTGTTTTTAAGTCACTAAAGCAGAGAATAAGGGACAATAATCTTATTGTTACTAAAGCCGACAAGTGCAATACTGTTGTTATTATGGATAATAGCGGGTATAGCCAGAAGGTTAACGATGATATCTAAAGAGATGACTTTGAGCTTTTGGAGTCTGACCCCACTAAAATGTTTACTTCGGATATTAAAGTATGTATACAACAGTCATCATATATTTTTCCCGACCACAACGTGTCTCGCAGCAATCTTGTTCCAATGAATCCTCATTTTATATGGGTTACCTAAAATACATAAAGACCATGTTCCTATTCGTCCAGTTGTATC